TGTCTTTACTGTCACTTTTGATCAATATAATGCATCCTTGCTCAATAAAACTTTTCTTTCTTTCTTTCTTTCTTTCTTTCTTTCAACTGTAACCCATAGCTCATGGAAGTGTATCATGGTTTTCGTAACAATATTAAGCAGCAAAAGCAATTTGCAACATTGATAACATTTCTTGAGCAGCAAATCAGCATATTAGAATGATTGGATCATGTGACACTGAAGACTGGCGTAATGATGCTGAAAATTCAGCTTTGCCATGACAGGAATAAATTACATTTTACAATATATTCAAATAGAAAAGAATTACTCGGGCAAAACGCCAGTCACATCCTTCCCAACTGCACTGGTATGGCTTCTCACCTAGAAAAATCACAACAAAAAGACTGTGCTGATTTACCTTAAAAACAGCTTTATGTATCAGTTTTCTGTTGCAACGTAATTTATTCCTGTGATGCAAAGCTGAATTTTCAGCAGCCATTACTCCAGTCTTCAGTGTCACATGATCCTTCAGAAATCATTCTGATATATTGATTTGGTGCTCAATTACGAGCAGTGGTTATTATTATGTTGAAAATGTTTTTGCTGCTTATATTTTTGTGGAAACCTTGTTTTTATCAGGATTCTTTGATGAATAGAAAGTTCATTGAAAGTAATTTTTTCTCATATTTACTGTCTTTACTGTCACTTTTGATCAATATAATGCATCCTTGCTCAATAAAACTTTTCTTTCTTTCTTTCTTTCTTTCTTTCAACTGTAACCCATAGCTCATGGAAGTGTATCATGGTTTGTAATTTATTCCTGTGATGCAAAGCTGAATTTTCAGCAGCCATTACTCCAGTCTTCAGTGTCACATGATCCTTCAGAAATCATTCTGATATATTGATTTGGTGCTCAATTACGAGCAGTGGTTATTATGATGTTGAAAATGTTTTTGCTGCTTAATATTTTTGTGGAAACCTTGTTTTTATCAGGATTCTTTGATGAATAGAAAGTTAATTGAAAGTAATTTTTTTCTCATATTTACTGTCTTTACTGTCACTTTTGATCAATATAATGCATCCTTGCTCAATAAAACTTTTCTTTCTTTCTTTCTTTCTTTCTTTCAACTATAACCCATAGCTCATGGAAGTGTATCATGGTTTTCGTAACAATATTAAGCAGCAAAAGCAATTTGCAACATTGATAACATTTCCTGAGCAGCAAATCAGCATATTAGAATGATTGGATCATGTGACACTGAAGACTGGAGTAATGATGCTGAAAATTCAGCTTTGCCATGACAGGAATAAATTACATTTTACAATATATTCAAATAGAAAAGAATTACTTTAAAAGCAACTACTTTAAAGGTAAACAATTTAAAATTCAGAATTATTCCATACTTTAATTTGGCAAACAGAAAATGTCCCCAAAACATTTATTTTAATGAAGTAGGCTCATTCAAAGTACAGGCTCATTCAAAGTCCAGCTTGAACATGTTACAATGTGTATCGTGACATTTTTAAATGGCAGTTATAGAGGAATTAGACGTGTATGTGCTTGTGGTTTTGAGAGTAATACAACTCCCATGTGTAAACACGGAAGTCATTTCCATGGTGCTTAACACACGCTGATAAGATCTGACATTGTGAGGTTTGCCACAGCACTGAATCCTGAAAAGCCACGTTCATTCAACACATGTGACCCTAAACTACCACTGTATCTGTATGTTTGTGTGTATCTGTATATCTTTTATGCGGATGCTGAAAATTCAGCTTTGCCATGACAGGAATAAATTACATTTTACAATATATTCAAATAGAAAAGAATTACTTTAAAAGCAACTACTTTAAAGGTAAACAATTTAAAATTCAGAATTATTCCATACTTTAATTTGGCAAACAGAAAATGTCCCCAAAACATTTATTTTAATGAAGTAGGGCTCATTCAAAGTACAGGCTCATTCAAAGTCCAGCTTGAACATGTTACAATGTGTATCGTGACATTTTTAAATGGCAGTTATAGAGGAATTAGACGTGTATGTGCTTGTGGTTTAGAGAGTAATACAACTCCCATGTGTAAACACGGAAGTCATTTCCATGGTGCTTAACACACGCTGATAAGATCTGACATTGTGAGGTTTGCCACAGCACTGAATCCTGAAAAGCCACGTTCATTCAACACATGTGACCCTAAACTACCACTGTATCTGTATGTTTGTGTGTATCTGTATATCTTTTATGCGTTCCATTAGCAAATGTCAAACTAAAAGCCTTTCTTTTGGTAACATTTCATGACAACTAAAGTTTGACTGACAGATGTAAGCAGGGGCTTTTGTTCGGTCGATTTTCATGTACAATAGGTAAGGTTTGTGTTCAATGCTTGAAATAAATCTTTATTTAGTACAGGTATGTTGTTGTGCATGTCCTGAATTATTATGAGAAGGGCCTTTTTTTTTACCATCCATAAATATTTCATACCGCCCATGAGTTTCTTAAAAAAATCCATATACAGTAATACACAACATAATTTATATATTTGTAAATCGAATTTATTCCTGTGATGCAAAGCTACATTTTTAGCAGCCATTACTAGTTGTCAGCATCACAAAATTCATCATAAATCATTCTGATTAGGTGTTCAAGAAATATTTCTTATTATTATCAATGTTAAGATGTCATGCTGCCTAATATTTTAGCCAAATTTTTTTTTTCAAGATTCTTTAATAAATTAAAAAAACTCAAAAGAACAGGATTTATGTCTTCACTGTCACTTTTAATCAATTTAAAGGGATACTCCACCCCAAAATGAAAATTTTGTCATTAATCACTTACCCCCATGTCGTTCCAAACCCGTAAAAGCTTCGTTCGTCTTCGGAACACAATTTAAGATATTTTGGATGAAAACCGTGAGGCTTGTGACTGTCCCATTGACTGCCAAGTAAATTACACTGTCAAGGTCCAGAAAAGTATGAAAGACATCGTCAGAATAGTCCATCTGCCATCAGTGGTTCAACCGTAACGTTATGAAGCGACGAGAATACTTTTTGTACGTGAAGAAAACAAAAATAATGACTTTATTCAACAATTCGTCTCCTCTGTGTCTCACTGCATCACTGTAGCACCATTTTGGAGAATATCCGCTGAACGCGAAAAAAAGTATTCTCGTCCCTTCGTAACGTTACGGTTGAACCACTGATGGCAGATGGACTATTTTGACGATGTCTTTCATACTTTTCTGGACCTTGACAGTGTAATTTACTTGGCAGTCAATGGGACAGTCACAAGCCTCCTGGTTTTCATCCAAAATATCTTAAATTGTGTTCTGAAGACGAACGAAGCTTTTACGGGTTTGGAACGTCATGGGGGTAAGTGATTAATGACAAAATTTTCATTTTGGGGTGGAGTATCGCTTTAATGCATCCTGCAAAAAAAAATTAATTCCTTAACAAAACAAAAAAAAAAGTTAACAAAATTTAGAAAGTTACCAACCAATGACTCGACAATTTACTTGACAAAGACATTTTTAACTTTCATTTGTCACTTAGGACTCTGATTATACTCCAATAAACACTAGTTTTCTATAAGAGGTGTTTAACCACATAACATCAAACAATAATTGTTGTTTTGAAACACAATGTTTCCGTTCAACCTACTAATTTCACCACAGTGAAACTACACAGCTCTCAGAAATAACTGAAGAGAGCACAAATTTTGCTCTTTGACTTGCTCTCAGACGCTTTTAGCTTAGCGCTCATCCCTCCCCTTTTTCTATACGTGAAACCAGAATTCAAAAGGAGATGAACAAATGTCCTCTTAATCTGGCAAAGGCTTCCAATAGCTCAGGGTCTTGAACAAGTTAATGCGCCCCTTCAAACACTTCAGACAACAGAGATATTATTTGGTTAGCTGGAGGTTGGGCAACGGTGAATCTGTTATCGCTAAAGTATTTTACTGCTCACACAATCATTATAAAGACACAAATGTGGAAGTTGAATATTGCTAATCATCTATTTCACCATCATAAGAATATTAAGAACAACAATCAGTATTAGCCTGTATTCACTTCAAACCACAAGGAATACTAATCAATAATGACAATCGCTAATAATCACCACAAACTTGCGTGGATACCCATAAAATGTCAATTGTAAGGTTTTTATCAATGACTTCTGTTTGAGGAAGGTGGGCAACAAGTTCCATTACTAAGATAATACAGGGCTTTCACAAACGCACCAAGTGCCCTCGAAGCAATTAGTCGAAAAATTATCACAAGTATTGTGAAAGCTGTTTAGGTAGTGATTTAGGTAGTGAACGCAGGGTTAGGCTTCTAGAATGTATTCTGTAACATTCCTGTAAAGTAGTGTTAATTTCGTTAACGAAGACTATTACGAAAAATGTTCGTTGACAAGCTTTTTTCCCATGACTAAGACGAGACGAGACGATAATAAGGTCAATAAACGATAACTAAGACTATATCAACATGCAATTTCGTTGATGAAATAAGACGTGGCTAAAATGTATTCAAAAAGATTTTTATTTTCGTCAAAAAAAGGAGACAAAATCTTATTGCGGACTGCTCTACATGCTAGTGATGTTTGGTTCTTGAACGAATCGTTCTTTTGAGCCCGTTCTCAGGAAGTAACCGGTCGAGCCGGTTCACAAATCGAACTGAATCGAACTTTAGTTCCGGGTTGAGGACGCAGGACGCACAGCCGAAGTAGCATGTCCAACTCAAAAAGAACCGATTGAGCCGGTTCAACCAACTGTCGAAGTTTGCCGAGGATTACAGAAGACTCAACAAGAACCGAATGAGCCGTGGCGAAGAGTTGCTTAAGCGAAATCAAGGAGTTTATAAGACTGGTTTATTCATTCTTTATACTGTAGACATGTAGAACATATCCGCGTTTGTGCATCAATGTCTGTAATGTGTGCTGTAGGTGTGAAACTTTTAGGAATCTTATCCGAGTTGTAGGCTAGTCAATATTGGTCAGTCAGTCGTATCTGAGGATCCGCGAATGAAACTGTGACCACAAATACCATTAGCTTAAGTGAATTTTATGGTAATAATCAGCAATATGCTTTCACACAAATAACTTTATTTTTTGAATGTTTCAATATGTGTTGACACAAATAACTTATTTGAATATTTCATTGATACAACATTGCACCGAGTTGTTAGAAAAGAAATGCTTGATGAATGTTCGCGGAAATTAATCGGACTTTGCATCACTACTACGTTCCTCTACTACGCGTGCTCTCATGAGTGCGGTTGCTAGATACCAAGAGTTTAAAATCCCCGAAACAGAGCATTTTCTGCCCGGTGTTTTACTTATTTTCAGCAATCTGGCAACCATGTGCACGCGCTCGCTCCTCACCGCGGAAGCACCGCCGCTGATGATCTGAAAACTATGAAAGCCCGTTTCCGCCACTGAATTAAAAATAAAAGAGGTAATTGCGACTTTTTATCCCACAATTCTGACTTTTTTTGTGATACAAACTCGCAATTCTGACTTTTTTTCTCAGAATTGCGTGACACAAACTCGCAATTCTGACTTTTTTTCTCAGAATTGCGTAATATAGTCATAATTGTGAGATATAAACTCGCAATTCTGAGAAATAAAGTCAGAATTGCGTGATATAAACTCGCAATTGCGAGACATAAAGTCGCAATTCTGAGAAATAAAGTCAGAACTGCGTGATATAAACTCACAATTCTGACTTTGTT